TTTTTTTTTAATTATTAAACTTTTTTATACTAACTTTAAATAATATTTTTTATAATATATAAATGATAATTAAAAATTTTTAATATATAATTCTTATTAAGTAATTTTATTTTATTAAAAAATTTTAATTATTATTTATATACTACAAAAATTATTTCTTAAAAAACATGTGAAAATAATCAAAGAAGTTATATTTTAAAGGTTAAACTGCCATTTTGGTCCCTCAACTATTGTATGGAACCTCAATTGAGTCCTTCAACTCAAAATCCCTGATTCAGTCCCTACTGTTTCCAATTTTGGCTCTAAGTTAATCCTTTCGTTAAAAATCCAGTGATATGTCTTGTTAACTTACTAGAGCATGATGACATGTCAAAATATTGTGATATGTCAACTGTACACGTGGAAAAAAGATGACATGGTAACAAAATACGTCACATTCTCCCTTTTCTTCTCATGAACAATTGGAAAGAACCCAGCAAGCATTAGGTTTGAAAAGAATCCAACAAGTGCTAGGTTCGAAAAGAACCCAACAAGCTTGGGTTTGGAAAAAACCTAATAGGTGTCGGGTTTGATTGCACCCAACAAATTCTTTTGGGCAAAATATAAAAAAGATTTTTTACTTTTTGTTCGTTTGTTGTTTGATAATGATAAAAATTGATTGATGAAGAATGGAATTCTATTTCATTGAATTGATTATTTGATTCAAAAAAACGATGATGAAAGTAGACTCGGAGGAGGCAAAGAGAGAGAAAAAGAAGAATGAATGAAGAAAGATTTGAGAAAGAAGATGAGGGTAAAATTGTAATTTTTAATGGATTAGATAATTATATTTATTTTATTACGTGACAAGGTTTTTTTGGTCACATCATTCACTTATCAATGTTGTCAATCCTCTATGTCAAATATTTTTGGACATTTCATTCTTCTTCTATCAATTAACAAGGCACCTCAATGAAAATTTAACGGAAGAACTAACTTTCGGTTAAAATTGGAAACAGTATGAAACAAATCAAGGATTTTTTGGGGTAAGGGACTCAATCGAGAGTTTGTACAATAGTTGAGGGACCAAAATAGGAGTTTAATCTATTTTAAAAGAGATGGAGTGCTAGTATTAAATAAATATAACATCATTTTCAACAGACGACTAAGACATGTGTGTCTGTTTGCACAAGTCATGTTCTTCCCCTCTTATGGATTTCCTATAAATTTCCAAGGATTTTCCTTCCTTTCACATCAATAAATGTGAAAAGGAATTTGATTCTAGAAGGAAAGGAAGGAAAATTTTGAAGGCCCAGCTCCCTAAAGATAGTCAAACATAGGAATTGGAGGGAAGCTATAGAGAATATCACCTATAATTTCTATGCAAAAACTGACTGACCCATCACAGTAGTTTCTTGGCAACTTTCTACCTATTGGCAGCAATACTGAGCTAGGAAGGCAAACCCACCCAACTCCTCTCTTTTAAGTTCTTGAATTAAAAATGGTATAAATAAGCTCTTAAATTCTTTAAAAGATGCAAATTTACTTTTATAATCCCTTAAATAATACAAATTAATCTTGAAATTTCTTTGAAGATGCAAATTAGACAAGGCAAAACCCTCAAATATACCCTCTAAATAAGGTGGTAAGGACAAATTCACCCTCCAAAAAAATGTAAAGACAAATATCACCCTCAAATCATCAACTAACCCAAATCATTCAATATTTAATTGCTGATGTTAGCACCGTTAAAATCTTTGTTTGGCCTGTGCTAGTGTGTTTATTTCTTCCATGCTAGAAGCTTACCTGCACCATCCACTCATTTTTTTACACTATATATCATTCTAGCTCAATTTTTTGCATCGTGTTATATGGGTCCCTTTCTCTTTCCCTATTTGATCCATTAATTTATCCCTTGCCTCTTTTGACGTTGATTAAGTCATGAAATTTGGGGGTTAGGGTTCTTTCCAAATCTCATGATCTCTCCCCTTGCTTTAATTCACTCCAAAAATTAGTTGAGGGAGTTTGTGGGTGTTTGTAAGTTTGTTCTCAACTCCTCCTTGAGTTCTCAAGCCTTTGGTGGTGTAAAAAGATTGCCAAATTGCCTATTGGACAAAAGTAGTAAGCTGAAGCTTCTAAGGATATCTAGCATTTTCCTATCTTAATCGGCTAACAATCCATACAACTGAGATGGGTTAGTGTCCAACAACAAGTTCTAAAGCCCTTGGGGAGTCATTGTTGCGTAAGTTAAAGCTGGTGTCAATGTCAATAAAGTAGAAGAGTTTGACTCAAGAATGGAATTGGCCTAGTGTTTGGCCTTGTGTTTAGGATTACTGGAGTGCTTAGCTATATTCTAGTGGCTACCACCGTTGATGGGGATGTTCTTGACAGCACTTGCTTTAGTCCAATAGTGCCAATAGTTCTTGCAAAAATGGCAAGGCTACTAGAGGTTGTATTTGTTGTAGTTGTAGAACTTTATGTTGGTGGAATCATGCTGTGGGCATTTCAAACTGCAATTTTGTTTGATTCCTACATCTCTATTTGGCTTAAAAATTTCAAATCTCAATTTCATGAACTAAGCTTCCAAAGAAATTGCACCAAAAGATCATTTGGATTACAAAAAACTAGTGGTTTTAAACGGATTTTAGTGATAAGGGTTTGGGTTCTTGTTTTCGTTTATTAAATTGAAATTAATTTGGAAAATTAGCGTTTGTTTCTAATTTATTCAAAAGGAAATTAAGAAATTAGGTATTTTTTGTTTCTAAAAGGGGTTATATGACATGGAAAGGGAAAAATAGAGGGACCCATCTGACACAGTGTAAAAAAAATGAGTCGATGGTACAAGTAAGCTTCCAACGTGGAAGAAATAGACGCACTAGCATGGGCCAAATAGATATTTTAACGGTGCTGACATCAACAGTTAAATATTGAGTGATTTTGGTTAATCAATGATTTGAGGGTGACATTTGTCTCTACATTTTTTTAGAGGGTGAAGTTATCCCTGCCACCCTATTTAGGGGATATATTTGAGGGTTTTGCCAATTAAACAACCCAACGCATGTGACTGCATGTTGTCGATTTTTTTTTTCCTTTGCTTGATTCGACTTTTCCATAGGGATACTCACATGGATTAAACGAATTATTAGATATTAAAAATGTTGCCAAAATAATTCACATGGTCTAAAAACACTAAATGAAAACGGGTCACGTGAGTCATTTAGCAAAATTTTTAGCATTTAATGGGTCCTTTGATCCATGTCATGTAAGGTGAGATCAAATGACGGACAAGAATAGATGACATGAGATTACATATATTGATTCATTAATGATAAGAGTTAATTTGCATCTTTCGAGGGGTTTGAGAATTTATTTGCATTATTTTTAATTTAAGGGCTTATATATTAATTTGAGCTAAGTTTGGGGGGCTTAAGGTGAGGTTTTGCCAACTAATAAATAAAAATGTTACCCCATGGGCCACCAGTAATCATTACAAAAGCAGCATCACGAAAGATGAACAAGTACGAAGAAGAGAGGATTAGATTCTTGCAATCTTACTCCTTGATTATTAAAGAAATTTAGAAATTTTATGGATATTAATGTAAAAATTTTACCTTGATATTAATGATAGATAAATTTTATGAGATTTTGCCTAATTTTATATAATTTTTATTATTTATGTAGAACATAACTTAATTGGAGGAAATCATAGCTTTTAAGATCAAACTGCAGAAATCAGAAACACAAGAATTAAGTCGCACAAAATCCAAAAGTTAAGGATAGGACTTTAATTTTATCATTAACCAAAATTGTTTTAAAATTTAAAGGCCAAAATCCCGACAATGACATTTCATTCACTGATTTAGAAAGGCGTTGTTTTGGGTGTCGACCCTTTGGCATTTTCAGCAACTTTCCATACCGTACTTTTTTTTTTTTTATATGGTTCCACATATATTTTAATTAGATTTTTCAAAATCCTATAAATGTTTATCCAAGATCAAAATTGAGAGGAGGTTATGAGAGGAGGCTGGTGGTAGGCCTTTCTTGGGTCAATTTAAGATTAGGATAAAGAATTTATTGATAATAAAATATCAAAAAATTTAACTTTTTTGAATTAAGTTTTGTTTCTTTTTCTAAAATTATTTTTATCTAGTTTTTGTTTTTTTTTTTATATTCATAATTATGGTTCAAGTTTTATTATTTTTATTCTAAATTAATTTAATCAATTAGAATTACACTGTAACTTAATTAATTTAATATAAGTTTTGTGATTTTTTTCTTTCATTAAAGTTATTTGCATAATTAATTTTTATTATTAAATTTAATGCTTAAAAAACTTTATTACCTTTTAATAATTATGTGATTTATGTGTGAATTGGAAAAAGTATTGTATGAATTATACCAATAATAACATAAATTATGTCTTAGACTATGACATTAAAAAAATATTAATGTCACATGCGATAGGAGATGAAAAGAAAAGAATTAGGAGTTCAGAGTTCTTTCTTTTTAAACTAAAGGCTTCCATATCAACTAATGCTCGCTAGTTTCTTCTTAAAAAAATTATATAAGCATATAACTAATTGAACAAGTATGTAAAGAATTAACTTAAAAAGTTAATTAGTTAATTTAGGAAAACTCATTATTAAAATGCAATAATACTCAATAAATTAATTTTAAAAGTATATTAATTTAAATTTTATATTGATTGATTATAGTAAAATTAAATGTCTTAGTATCTTATATCTTAATTATACTTGCGTTAATTGTTATTTTCTTTCATTATTTTTAATTAAAATTTATTTTTTTATTATTCAAATAAATTTAAAAATAATGATTTTTAGTACTTAATTTATCACAATTTTTATAAATTCAACACCCTTCTCATCATTTTATCATTTGAAGCCACTGATATATTTAGTGGAGTGATTTTTATCGCACCATTAATTGCTCTTCATATTTCTATAGGGTGCTTGCTAGCTGCTGCTAATACAATCATAAAGACAATGAAAAAGAAGGATTACAGAACAATCTCGAGCTTATTACTAATTAAAGAATAGCTGTCTTAAGACATACGCTAATCGAAATTAAGGGCTGTTGGCCATGCACCCTGGATCCATCCATATGCAACAACTAAATCATTCTATATGCACACTCCCTGGATCTCTTGATATGGCAAAAAGGCACAAAAAGGAAAAGAAAAAAGAAAAATGAGGAATCATGCTTCCAATTTGTGTGTCATTGAGGACACTCTTCATCAAAAGCAGTAGTGTGATCAATTCATAATCCAGCAGCATCTAGCAAGAAGATATATGCTTCTTATGCACTTAGTTTAGAGTGTCCATAACGTTATTTTGAGACTGGGGAGTATAGATTTTCCGTTCATCATCACATCTCCATCTGCCAAAACCCATCACCCTCTGCATAAAAGGAAGCAAATAAACCAAAGACTAGTTGTTGGATCAGAGACTGAAAATAAATGTGCAATTGCAGCAAAACTTTTTCTATTTACTATTAGAATAATTTCAAGCCTTTTATCCAAGAATAACTCTACAGTTCAATTTGCAGGAGCCTTACAAACCAAATTCATGGGAGGAAATGGTCCCATACTAACACCTAACACGTACATGTCAATCGGAGAATGGATCATATGGTATTGTCAGGGGCTGTGATAAGATATGCCTAAAGAAACTTTAGTCAGCCATAGCCAATCCCTTCACTGGCTTTGTGAATTGCAAGTAGCAAGTGTTCCTGAAGCCGTTCAGGAAGGTCCAGGGAGGTCTAGTTGAGTAAAATTGAAGAGGAAGAAGAAAAAATACCAATCCAAATCAGAGATAAAATTGCAAT